CAACAATGAATGGCCCTGTGCCAAATGGCGCACACTTCATGTTCACTTGCGGTCTTGTGGACTTACGGCCCAATTTCTGTGTTCTGCTACGTATGTCCGCGAGCCTTTCAAATCACACTCCTTAGGTCATGAGCGTGGAAAGACGGTCTCTTCGATGTGTCTTCGATACGCACTTTTTCTTACAGTATGGGCTACTATTCTGGTGACGAAATTGGCGTCTCGCTACGTGGACCCACGCGTAGCCTATACACGTAAAAACCGGAGTAGGCTACTACCCTATCCACCTTATTTTTCAAAGCGGAAGTTAGGTGTTCTCTGTGAATGCGCGAGACTTTCAATTTCTGAGCCGCTATAGGGTAATAAGGAGAAAAATATATCGAAGTACAGTAAACTGTAAAACAGTTTGCGCTACAACCAGCGTGTTTAATTGAGACACTAGCCTACATTAATATGTAAAAAATACCAGTTTGCAATATCAAGCAGCATAAGGAGCTCTTTTGTACAGCTAAAAATAACTGGTAACAAATGACACCGGAAGCAAGACACATTCAAATTATAAATGGCCGCAAAATAAGGTGGATACTTTGGGCTTCAGTGTTCCATTTGGGATAGGGCCAATATAATACATAAAAATAATTGCTTTTATGCATGATTGCTTTCCTTTCACTGTTTCACTTACAAAGCACTCTGAGGGTAACGCTGGTCTCAACTTGTCTTTTGGCACCCTGGGAGTACAAAAGAGTGCAGGAGACTTTAAGGTGGTCATTTAGAGGCGTAGCATTGAACATCTGAGAGGATACCAACGTTTTCTGTCCGAATTCATCCTCCTTAAGAAGAAAACAAAGTTTAAAGCATCAGGACGCAGAACTGTAGTTTACAATCATCATGATTTGCCTGACGTTACATTTCACCTGTAGGGCTGGTGTGAGCTGTTCTCCTAGTTGTGGGTTCCACTGCATCCGAGGTTGTATTGAGGGACATGAGATCACAGTGGAACAGGTCAATGTCAACTCGGAGCCCTCTAGAACTTCCAGCACCTGAACATGTGGGCTCAGGACAGGCGGTGGAACGTCTTGGAATCAAGAATAGAGTTAAGACATTATCATCATAATGCCCCAACCCACTCCCTCCCAAAAGAGGCATAAAATAAGGATTCCAACCTTTATGGACTGTGATGTTCACTCCTTGCCTAAAAGTATACATGAGAGGTTCAGGACCCTGAAGTCTGAAGAAAAACATGTCACTGAATCCAGCAGAAACGTTGTGAAACACTGTAGTGCAATTTTTGTTTAAGATGTTGCCAATCACATTTCCTTTTTGAAACAACTCCGGACTGAGCACGATTGCTCCATCTATGGTTGTTTTTTTCCACATCGCCTCTACAGAGTTGTTTAGGGACTTTTTGAATGAGTCGGGGATCTCAAACTGACATGGAATATGAACACAGAAGCCATTTATCGCATCTATATTCTGAGGCATCTTAATTTCCCACGTGTTGCTTTCAGCACCTTCATACATAAACACATACGACATGTTCTACATTAGTTTAATACATGCCAAAGCATTGAGCGGCTTAACTTTACAGCACAATAGAAGTGCGAGTTAAACTGACACCCATCCTTATAAATAGCACCATTTCGACATAAACACTCATTCAGTATTTGTTCATTAATCTAAAACTATTTAGGCTTATATTTCAAACCCAACAGATCAACAACACCAAGTCTCTCACCTCTCAATATCCAGATTATGATAACCAAGATTTTAGGTCCACTCATGCTGCTGAAATCTGAAGAAAAAGAAAAACAAAAACATATGAGCAATTATATAAGAAATACAGATGTGGCTTTCTAGGCTTTGTTCCTTTTTTTTTTTTTTGTGGCTTTTTCACTTTGTGTGTAGAACAAAATTGGTACATACATAGATTGTTGAGGAACACTTAACTTAAATTATTAGATTAATACTGTTTATTACTGTTTTTTTTTTTTTTTTGAAATCAGAAATAATCAGAGACTTTTACCTGATGCAGAGCTGTCAGACAGTCACTCAGAAACTTCACGAATTACTGGAAACGGGAAGTTTCACCATTAGTTTTATCTAAAACATTTTACTATTACAAAAAAATGCTAAAACAGGAAAACATTTGTTCTTCCTTTTAGGGTAAAATATGTTTAAAAGGAATTAACAGTTGTGTGAATTGAAATATGGTGCGAAATCAACATCGATAATTCATGTGAGATTTTTTTCTATGCCTACACACACTTTCCTTCTTGAATATGTTGCTGTTTTAAAATTGTATTTCCACAAATGTGATTTTCTATTGTTTTGAAATGTTTTTAGACATAACTTAAGCTCTAAAGATGTCACTTTTTCCAAACTAACCCTCAAGCTATACTGTAATAAAACAATTTCAACCAGTTGATAAGATGTATTGCCTTTCAGGGCATCATAGCTTACTTTGACATTTTGGTCATTTAAACTATTATTTTCTTCACATTTCACATGACAATTAATCAACTCATTTGACCTTAAACCACTTATCTATCTATTATCGCCCACATTATTATGAAAGGTCAAACCACAGATTCAGAGTCTTCTGTCTTCTGTAATACTAAGTCTCAGCAGTAAGTGGCAGCACAGTTCAACATTAAGATATTGATGCTCCTCCAGATATGTGGGGCAATTCCAATTTCTCATATCTAGTTTCCCTTAAAACCACTTTCACCTAAAACCAGTCACCCTCAAGTTTCTCTCCCTCATGTTGTTCTAAACCTGTATGTGTTTCTTTGTTCTGCTGAAAACTAAAGAAGATATTTTGAAGAATGTTGGGAACCAAACAGTTGTCAGTGGTCCCCACAGACATCCATAGTATTTTGTCATACTATGGAAGTCAATGGCGACCAGAAACCGTTTGGTTCCCAACATTCTTCAAAATATCTTCTTTTGTTTTCAGCAGAACAAAGAAACACATACAGGTTTAGAACAACATGAGGGTGTGTAAATGATGACACAACAACAATATTTTTTTCAATGACCGTATAGTGGTTCTAATGCCACAGCAATCAAATTAATTTTAGTGTATGGTATGCTAATAGTCATAATTATTAAATATAAACAGAAACAGCAATCAACCCGTTTCTGATATGTGGTTGGATACAAAAGTCATGGGAATTCATATCAGCATGTAGGCAAAGACACAATAAAACAAGCAACACTGACAAAGAGAAGACATGGAAATTATTCACATGCAAACATATTGTATGCTAGGGAAACCACAAGATCTTGAACAGATACTGTTAATAGCATATGTAAAACATTGTACAATAACTCTTGTTGTTGTTAGTAGTAGTAGTGGCGTAGTACTGGAGTTATTAAGCACACATTGTAGATAGACACATGATTGAACATCAAAACATCTGAATTTTGAAAGTAGTGATACTTTCAAAATTCAGATGTTTTGATGTTCAATCATGTGTCTATCTACAATGTGTGCTTTATAGACATTAAAGTAATTAGATATACATAATATGCTTTAACTCTCCCAGAGGCAAAATTGAGTAAACACACACATATATTTAGGTTTCTGTGTTTGTTCGTGTGAATGTCTCCTCCCTCTTCCTGCTTATCTCATGTAGAGAAAACGAAAAAGGGGAGAAAAGGTTTCAGAGAGATGGAGAGCAGCTGGAAGTGATGTCATTGAACCCTTCACTTATGTATTTGCCTGCACACTGAACATATCAAAACCCTGATACACATTTCCTGCAACACATTCACAAATTACTATGCGGTGGTGTTTCCTCAAAGACTGATTCATTGAGCAAACCTTCATTGAGACTGTCTACAGGTAAGAACACCCACAACAATTCATAATCAAGTTGTTTGTAAGTCTTTATGATTTTATTTTCAGGTTGTGTGATCATTTTATTGCATTTCTGTATTTTATATTAATGTGATTTTAATGAGAATTTTAACATGGTTTATTCACATTTTTTTAAATTAATATATTCTACTGTTCTTTGTTTTGAAACATAAAAGGAGAAACACAACTAACTCTGACACAAGAGAATTTTTCAAGCTATTTTTCAAGAAGTACGTTTTTTTTTTTTTTTTGCCGGAACATATTTAGTTTGAGTAAATGCTGAACGTAATGGGAATAATGCAATAAGATGTTGTGACCTCTCATGATTCAGCAGAGCAACTCAAAATATATAACACCGGTTTTATATGCTGAAACCTTTTAGTTGCCAGACAACTCATATTTATCTATATGGTGTAACTCAGTATACGAGCATGAAATTACACTTTGATAAATTGCTCACTAAATGACATGTGTACCCGAAAGTGTCTTCTCCTACGCATGTTTGCTAACGTTTAGTGGAACACATCAAGATTGCAAGTTTTATTAAATGTTAAAAAAAAAAATTGGGGGGGGGGGGATTCATGAAGTTTATTTTTAAGACATGTAAGAATCTAAGCAGCTGTTTCCATTTAAAAACACTGGTTTCAATTCCGCTTCTGTATTTTGTTAAAGGGTGAAAGGTTCAGAGTTTCCCCCCAAGAGATCAGTTAACATTTCATAAAACTTGCAATCTTGGTGTGTTCAACATCCCCATATTTTTTTTTTTCCAGACAGATATTTTAAAACAGACTCTGAGTAAGAGCTGGGTGGCTTCTGTCATGTGATCAAACTTTTATGGCTAGTTTCATCTATATTTAAAATATGTATACAAATTCCAACTATATTTAAACATTTTAATAACCACCCCATATATACACAAAAAAAAGTCTTGGGTAAATAAGAGAAAATACTTGTAGATGCAGAATGTTATGTAAAAGGTCATATTTTCTCTAAACATTTTAAGAACTTCATTAAGTGAAAACATCATAAAGACGTTCTAAGAGCGTCTTCTCTCAACATAATGAGAATGCATATCAAATATTAATAATGTTATAAGAATGTTCTATAAATGTTGTTTTAAACTTTTATTTTTTCTCACAGAATGGCCTTCAATACAACTCTTTTTATTCACGTCTCCCACCCGGACGTCTTTGAGAAAACTAAAGTGGACATTGATGCCATTATGGATATTATTACCATTGTCCTCTACACCATTACCATTATCTTTGGCATAACCGGGAACTCTATGGTGGTCTGGGTGGCTGGTATCCGTCTGAAGCCCAACGTCACTAACGTATGGTTGGTCAATCTGGCAGTAGCTGACCTGATCTTCTGCCTGACACGAGTCACTTCACTCCTCAAAAAACTTTTCTATGACCACTGGGCTTTTGGGGTCTTTCTCTGCAAGTTCAATGGTTTCTTCAAGTACGCCAACATGTTCTGCAGTGTTTTCCTTCTGGCTGTCATCAGTGTGGATCGAGCGCTCTGCGTCTGGTGCCCAGTTGCTACTAGGAAACGACGGACGTTATGTGCAGCTCGTGTGGTCAGTGTGGGAGTTTGGATTGTGGCGGGGATCTTTAGTTCACCGTATTTTGTGTACCGGCAGGTCTACCCTGGTGACAACAACTTGACCAAGTGCTCACTGGAGGTCAGGACAACTTTGCAATTCTGTCTGAATTTCTAAATTGTTTCCAATTCACAAATCTAAACTCCATATCTTAATCTGCAATAAATAAATCACTTTCTCAGCAGACAAAACAGGTAAAAATATTATAAGGCTAATATCAGAAATAATTCACCCAAAATAAAAATTCTGTCAACATTTACTCATGCTCGTGTCATTCCTGGACCCTCAAGTCCAGCTTGACTTTATGTACACATTGTATTTTATTATAATGACTTTATTTCTCAACTGAACACTTTGGATAGCGATGCACGATATATCGGCCACCATATCGGTATTGGCCGAAATATCTTTATTTTTAACGTTATCGTTAAATTTTTTTTAACGATATATTAAAGACGATAAATAATAGATTATTTCCTTCAGCTGAGACACTTCAGATGCTAACTGTTCGTCATGATGGCTTTGAACTGCTTGAAATATGATTGGAATCACTTCTGTCATAGTCTGTCATTTATAGGCTACATGAAATTATAATGAGAACATTATTATAATTGTGTGCTTGGTACATGGATTTTAATGGTGAGACTTCTGTTTTTGTAATCAGGCTCTCAAAAATGATATAAAAACTTGGATTTAGGTGTATCGACCAATATATCAGTTATCAGCTTTCAGAAGTATCCCTTTAAATAAATACTTCCCTTTAGTACCATAGTTAAAGGGATAGTTCACTTTGAAATTAATTTTTGGTATGTTTTAGCTTACCTCAAGGGCATCCAAGATGTAGGTGTCTTTGTTTCCGCAGAAGTTTCCATTTTGATTTTTTTAGGTCAAACCGTTCTTGTCTGTCAGTCATATAATGCAGGTCTATGGTCACCACCTCAAAGAGCATACACAGAGAAGTCCAAATTAAACATGATTTAATGATTCGTAAATACACATTGATGGCCTAAGACACGAAACGAGTGGTTTGTGTGAGAAAACGAACAGTATTTACATCGTTTTTACATCTTGTAACCACAGCCACGTCCAAGTGATCTGAGGGCGCAGGCGCTTCGGTCTGTGCGTTACAAGAGGTAAAAACGATATAAATACTGTTCGTTTTCTCACACAAACCCCTCGTTTCGTGTCTTAGGCCATCAATGTGTGCTTCCATTTACGAGTCATTAAATCATGTTTAATTTGGACTTCTCTGTGCATGCCCTATGAGGTGGTGACCATAGACCTGCATTACATGACTGACAGACAAGAACGGTTTGACCTAAAAATATCAAAATTGAAACTACTGCGGAAACAAAGACACCTACATCTTGGATGCCCTTGAGGTAAGCTAAAACATACCAAAAATTAATTTCAAAGTGAACTATCCCTTTAATGTGGTTTAATTGATCAATATTCTGAAATCTGAGTTATCTGATTTATTTGTGCAGGTGAAAGAAGCATCAAAGGGTGACAATACAGCAAAGAACGCCTTGTACAGCATTCGCTTCTTATGTGGATTCCTGTTGCCCTTCCTGGTCATCCTGTGCTGCTACATTGTAGCTGCTGTTGGGATACGCAGAACACGGCTCTCTGGCAAGTCAAGGCCTCTCCGGATTCTCGCTGCACTGGTCTGTGCCTTTTTCTTATGCTGGGGACCCTACCACTGCCTACTGCTCGCCAAGATGGTGGACAAGAAGAGCTATGCAGTCAAAGTGGGTCTGCCCATTGCTAAGTGCTTCGCATATTTCAACAGCTGCGTGAACCCTCTGCTGTACTTCTGCATGGGACTAAATATTAGGCAAAGCTTCAGACAAAGCATATCAGGTATTTATCGCAGAGCATTTATGGAAGAAGGCCAAACTGTGCAATCCCAGGAAGGCACTGCCGAAGAAAGCTGTAATTCCATTCCAAAGACTTCAGCGTTCGTTCGAGATAGACCTAGGGGCATGACTAAAGTTTAAAATAGTTTTATTGTTATGTAACTTTTGTTTTTGTACATGATAAACCGTTTATATTCAGAAACAGTGCTTTTCACAAGTCTGTTTCTGTGACCGCTCTAGCGTTAACATGCAAGCCACTTTTAAGCAGCTAATATATTTCCTCGCTCTAAAGCCAATAAACTGTAATAGGTTTCCTGAGAAAGTCTCTTGATTTAGTGTTTAGTGTAATTCACTTCTGCCTTACTTTTACATACTTTTGTTCCTCTTTTCTGATCAAGACATCCTACAGTACTTAATTCACTGAATGGAATTTGATGATTCTATTTAAATGCAGCAAATACGCATTATTTTTTTGATATTCAAACCAACTCACAAATGAAGCGCTTCACTATACCTGTTGTGTTAATAAGCAGCTTGCACTAGCCACATATTGGAAGGAAGCGAATGCTCTGAAAACGTGGCAGCTGACTTGTTGCCTTGCTGCCCTATCAGGCAATGACTTTGCAGGCAGCATTTGCTCACGAAGGTTCCTCACGAAACTGATTTCAGACAGACTTCGTTACGGTTACGGTTTAATGGAATGGTCTACAGCAAAATAGAGCGAGCTTTGGTGAAAACTAAGTGAATATTTAATGACTACAATCGGTCTTTGTCAGACAGGTGGGTTTGTTGTGTGTGGCGTCACCAAGGCGCCATTTTTGCGGTATCGCTACTGACTGTTAAACTGTGAAACTGAGAAAATGCCGTACCACAATAAACTCGATAAAGTTTATTTTATCGTTATTTTGAGAAATTGTCATCCATTCAGAACATAGATCCATATATGAGCTGCCTTCTCCATCCTTTATACCTGGACATTGTCAACTATCTTGTTTATGGTATGAGCGCATATACCAAAAAACAATTTAAAAACTATAAATCTCTTGAAGCCCACGGACATTTCACCAACGGCTGGGTGTAGAATTTATTTACATTCCGACCCAGGGGCGTAGAATTTAGTAGGGACGCTAGGGACGTGTCCCTACCAATATCCAGTGACACTGATATATCCCTAGCAATAATTTCGATCAAAATTTTAAATATATTTATACATTGATGTCCCTGTCCCCACCAATTTCAAAATCAAACCTACGCCACTGTTCCGACCGAAGGACTGCGACAACACAGTAGTAACAGCAAAGATAGGTTTGCTGTAATGATGATGATGGTAATGTCATGTTACAGCCCGTTCTCATCCCAAGGCGTCATCTAACTGACGCTTTTGACCATGCGTCAACATGCCGACGCACATGGTACCCCTTAAGCGTCAATATGAGACGCGCCTCCTAGTGGTCTAACCCTAACCCTACCCCAGACCTAAACCTACCCATAACGGAAGCGTCATCTAACTGACGCTAAAGGGTGCCATGTGCGTCGGATTTAGACGCATGGTCAAAAGCGTCAGTTAGATGACGCCCGAGGATGAGCGTCTCATATTGACGCTTAAATATGTGCGTCGGCATGTTGACGCATGGTCAAAAGTGTCAGTTAGATGACGCCTTGGGATGAGAATGTGTTGCATGTTAAGGATGGTTTGTTAAGTTTGAACATGTTGCGAGTAGGAATCATTTTGAATGATCTAATATTGTACTAATATTCTTTATTGTATTCACAAACTAATGCCTAAGACATAAACAGAAACAGTTCCAATAAAAAGTCATCATCATGAAATAAACTGTCTGACATTGTTACTCAAGTAAATCAATGTATTGATTAATATATTACAATAGATGGGCACAGTGGGAGTACAAACAAAGTTGCATACATTGAAATTGAGTTTAGCTTTGTACATCAGACACATTTCTACACCAATGTTTTTCAACCCTTTTCTGTCTCTATGTCTTTCAAAAATGACAGTTCACACCCAAAAAATGTAGTAAGGCCATTGGCAGATCTGTGAAGTACTTTACTTTATCATCATCATTGTCTCCAAAAGAACTATCAGAAATCCTGTGTTCATCAAATTCACTTTGCAGCTGTCTGTTTTCTTTATCACTTAAAAAAAAAAGAAGAATGAAAAACACAATTCTCCATCAACAGAATACCCCAGCATCGATACCTTACAAATGGCGGCTACACCCATAATGCACTTCGTGTATCACGAGTGTGACATCACCTGACAAAGGCCGATAGTGATTTCTCGCTAGAAATGACATCATAAGTGGAAAACATTGATCAAAAATGTACATTTCACACAAACTGATGACCAACCGCAACTTTCAGACGCCATCTTTATTTTTCTAGCTCAACTGTCACAGAATGGAAAGCACAGGATTGTGGGATATCAAAGGCAGCGAAGGATACATTTATGCTGCCTTCAAAAATCCATCAGATGAAGGTATCTCAGGAGACAGGAAGTGAAACTAACATTGCATTCAGACGTGGCTTGATGCCTTCCGACCTTGGAATGTGTCCTCCGAAGGCAGCATTTATCAGTTTTCGGGCGCAGCCGTTGCATTATTTGAATATCAAATATTGGTCAGATTAGAAAAGAGAGGATCTTTTGTACTGTCAGGTTCTTTTCGTGCACTTATAAAACTTTCCTGGGCTACCACAGAAAACAAAATTTATTTACATTACCGGTACATGCATTTAAATATTAATCACATTAGTAGATAAATTGAATAAAACAATTATAATTGTATTTGTTAGGTTCGTTTAAATGCCCTTTTATGGAAGCTCAGCTGTTATCTGTTATCTTCTCTGACAGACCCCCATTATCATGATTATCTTCTCTGATGACTAGGGGGCTTTTACATGACACTGGTTTCAAAAGTTTTGGTCGCTTTGGGGGCCTGAAAATGCAAACTTTTGAAAACGGGTTTCAAAGTGCAAGGTTTTGAGATGGAGCATTGGTGTAGATTTTTCTTTATTTCTCTTTATGTGTGTATAGATTGTGACTGCAGTCTGATTTTAGTCTTTCAAATTTTGTCACAGAAGTCATAAGTTCTGTTTATGTTGGCAAAACCATTTTAAAGATGTCAGCCAATTTCCTGACTGGTGGTTGAAAGCATTTTGAATCAGATGTTTTCAGTTTAACAAGCAGAAATGCTTCCTCGATGTTGTGTGGTTTTTTATTTATTTATTAATTATTCATTTTAAAAATTGGCTTCAGAGAAAGTAGTTCAATGTGTTTTTTTTTCTTTGAAAAAAATTGTTGTTTGTTACAATTAAGAAGTCTTCATTTCCATTTCCATTTTCTTATAAACTGCCCATATGTACTACTTTTAATGAAGTTGTTGACACTATGTTGATATCAAGCTGTATCAGAAACATATTTCTGCCATCATTTTGTGTTATGATAGATATGATTACAGAAACTGGTGAGTTGCGGCCCGGAAATTGGTCACTGGTCTGTATTGGCAATTAAACCATTTGGAAAAACAATGCAAAATGCAATAAATAACTATTTTAAGCAGATGGCAACATGGGCCGGGTGGCGGGTGCATGAGATACCCTCAGTCTTGAAAAACATGAACAAATTGTGCTAGGTAAAGGAAAACAATACAGACTATAACAACAGGTAAATCAAACTTTTTTTGTTGTCTGGATCTTGAAGCAAAACGAGTTCAGAACTACTAGTTTACACCAGCTTTTGTGGCTTAAATAAAACATCCATTAAAACAATAAACATTCATATATTTACTCTTTGGAGATTTTATAAGTTACGGGGAAGCCTTACACAATCGTTTGAAGCAATTTGGATGCCAATGGGTGGAGGGTGACGTCACTGCCCAGAAATATATTTGTTATTTCTAAAGAGGGTTAATAGATGCAATATTAATTTTAATGGCACAAATCAAGCACAAGCATGTTTTCTGAGATTTTTATCGAAATGGGGTGGAGAGGGACATCTCACAGCTCCTAAGAAATTAAAATATTTTCAGTGTTTTAAGTGCACAAACCAAGCAAATATGAATGGTGCCTATTTGGATTAATTTGAACGACATAATGTTCAATATCTCAAACACCAAACCAGCACAAGCAATCGTTTTACAGCACAAACAACAAACGAATGGCATCGTTTTGGTGATTAATTCATTTTATAGGGTGCCAACTTCACAGAGGTCAGTTTCTATCTGTTCATTTCATTTGTTGTATAATACAGCAATTATTGTAATTTGCTTGATTACAGTTTAAGTTAATTCAGTTCTCGCTTCTTCGTTTATATCCCTTAATTGTTGCAGCTTAATTATGAAGCTCTTTTCATCTGAAACAGCACTGCCCTGCTGAAAAATCCAGCTTTGCTGGTCTGCAGCATTATGTATGTTTTGCACGCTGGAACCTGCATAAAATGCTGGTTTCTGGTTTTCTGGTCCCTATGATATGTTGGTTTTCTGGTCCCCATGAGATGCTGGTTTCTGGGTGTCTGGTCCCCATGAGATGCTGGATTTCTGGTTTTCTGGTCCCCATGAGATGCTGGTTTCTGGTTTTCTGGTCCCCATGAGATGCTGGTTTCTGGTTTTCTGGTCCCCATGAGATGCTGGTTTTCTGGTCCCCATGAGATGCTGGTTTCTGGTTTTCTGGTCCCCATGAGATGCTGGTTTCTGGTTTTCTGGTCCCAGTGATATGCTGGTTTCTGGTTTTCTGTTCCCCATGAGATGCTGGTTTTCTGTTCCCCATGAGATGCTGGTTTTCTGGTCCCCATGAGATGCTGGTTTCTGGTTTTCTGGTCCCCATGAGATGCAGGTTTTCTGGTCCCCATGAGATGCTGGTTTCTGGGTGTCTGGTCCCCATGAGATGCTGGTTTTCTGGTCCCCATGATATGCTGGTTTCTGGTTTTCTGTTTTTTTTGGGTTTTCTGGTCCCCATGAGATGCTGGTTTCTGGTCCTCATGAGATGCTGGTTTCTTGTTTTCTGCTCCCCATGAGATGCTGGTTTCTGGTCCCCATGAGATGTTGGGTTCTTGTTTTCTGGTCCCCATGATATGCTGGTTTCTGGTTTTCTGGTCCCCATGAGATGCTGGTTTCTTGTTTTCTGGTCCCCATAAGATGCTGGTTTCTTGTTTTCTGGTCCCCATGAGATGCTGGTTTCTGGTTTTCTGGTCCCCATGAGATGCTGGTTTCTGGTTTTCTGGTCCCCATGAGATGCTGGTTTCTGGTTTTCTGGTCCCCCTGAGATACTGGTTTCTGGTCCCCATGAGATGCTGGTTTCTGGTCCCCA